ATGGTCTTTTATGCAATAGCTGTGTTATCAAAAAAATGGGCAAATTCAATTCTACTAAATTAGATTATATTTTAAATGCATGGGGGATTTAGCTACTTAAAGGAAATCTGTAGTGAATTCTTTTGTAATGCACATAATCACTTCCTAATTTATCTGTTTAGTAAGTTGAGCTTCTCCTGTATCAGATTTTCTTAATATGGGGGTTTTCTGTACAGAAGAGCTTTTTCCAACCCTCTCTCAATGATGGGAAAAAGTCACTCGGCTTGCAAACAAAATCATTTATTGTGTCCATTTGGCAAAGCTTTGCTCTACTGTTTGAGCGTAATCTCATATTCCCTTATTATTAAATAATAGAATCTCAGAATGGAAAGCTGGAAGACACCTTAAAGATCACATGGTCCATCTCATTTCTCAGATGAAGAAATGGAAGCACAGAGGTAAAGTGACACGTTCTGTGTCGCCAGCCAGTGACTGTCAGACAAGGATTCAATTCCAGGTCTCTGTTGCCAGGGGAGGGCTTCATCTGACTGTCCTTATTTTGCCCCCATCAAGATTCCAAGGCCATGCATGCATTGGAGATGATAGATGAATATGATGCATCTTCTAAGACAACCAATGAGAGCTGCAAGTGTGAGCAGTTTCAAGGGAAACTGCTGCATTTGCAATTTTGTGAGTTGTTGACAATATTCAATTTAACATTTTTGTTAAAGAGCTGAATGGAATCCAGCATAGTGATGCTGTTTGGCCTTTTTATGAGAAAAAATTACAATTCTTGGCTAATGGTATTTCTCAGTGAGAATTTTACCATATCATGTCTTAAAAGTACTTGCCAAGTGTAACAACGGATTCTTATAGATCCTACGTAGGTTGGTGGGTTTGTTCTTGCTGGCAGCAGGTTGGCCAGGAAACCTGATTTGAAGTAGTGTGTTTGGATAAACTATGCTTGATGTTCTCAACCTTTTGAGGGGTTCAGAAATCATCCTGCCTTGGAAATGCCCCCAGATTGTTCCTTTTTAATTAGTACGTTATTTTTCTTAAAGAGCTAACTATTGAAGATATACACATTTCTGAAAGATTTCAGTGGAGGGGCAGGGCCTTCATCCTCACATGTGCTGTCACAGCCAGTCTCTGCAGCACTGGGGGCTTTCTCAAAGGACAGGACCCACCTTGGGGGCTTGAAGATTTTGACTGCGGTGCCATTTACTAGCTCAGGGCCTTGGGTCATGCTCAACCTTTCTGAACCTTCTTTTCTTATGTATATAAGAGCTAATAATTGGTGTATAAATATTCAATAAGATACTCTCCTAGGCATTTGAGACTTCGATGTAGAGAAGGTATGTAGAAAATAAAAAAGAGCAGAATTCAGGGCTGTGGCCCTTGAGGATCTGTCCTTATCACTGGCCTTTCAGGAAACAGCTAGAGCACTGTTAAGGAGCCACAGACTCAAGTTCCAGTGTGTGTGGATGTGTGTGTGTGTGTCCGGGGGTGGGTGAGTATCTGCTCCCCAGCATACCCAGGCCAGCAAGACTGTTGATGGAAATGCTAATGAAAAATGATGTGCAGTTTACTTAAGACAGGCTGGGAGAGAGTGAACAGGGAAGGGCTTCCCTGGCTAATGGTTAAACCTTCTCCAAGGTTGCAAAGCATCTCCTGTGGGCTCAGAAATAGTGCAAGGCAGGTGCTCCCCTCAAAGGTCGATTTCAGGAATGCAGACCTCACACGTCCTTGAAGAAGTCCATGAGCACAGGTGAGGTTTGTATCAAATCCCTGAGGAAGGTCAGTTTCGGAGAAAAACGGTTTTACTTCCAATTGTACACAGAATAGGAAGCAGAACTACTGGCTTCTATAGCACAAAAAGGTCATTATTTCTTTAAAACTCGAGTCCGACTAGGATGAGTTTAGATTAAAGCTCACAAGAATTGCGTAAGAGCAAGATTAGGCAATGTAAGATTATACAACGAACCCAAATTTATGTGGTTTTTCACAACTTTCAAATATATTTTCCTTAGAATTTAAAAGGGTAACTAACCTTTCAGCTGTCAAGAGTCTGTGATCTTTATGACAATGTATCAGATTTTGAAATAACCTCAATATTTCAATATTTTATAAGTAGCTCTGAGTTTAATTTTAAAGTGACAGAATTCAGTGAAAATATCACCAACTGGAAAAATATGGAAAAAGTTGCTTTACTTTAGTGGAACATGAGCTGCAGACTAGATTAGCGACAGTGTCTCCTGTTTACCGAGTACTTACTCTATGCCAGGTACTGTGCTTTCTGTGTGTGTTGTGTGGCCTATTCTGTCAACCCTTTAGAGGCAAGAAAACCAAGCTCTAGAGAGGTTAGGTGCCAATAGTTCTACATTGCAAAGGAGGGAACTTAAGTAAAATTTCAAGTGGGCTGTCCAATAAATAATAACTAAAACGAAACTCTCGTTTTCCATTTAAGGGCATTCATCCAGTAACCACACTAATTCCTCCCTCACTGCCTTTCATCTCCCAACCTTTCCTTAACTTAAAGCTCTAAACAGACCCAAGAGATGCTAAAGAGACTAAAAATTATTGCAAATGTGAATACTTTGAAAAGAAATTTAATTTTATTACTTCCAGGACTGTATGTACAGCGAGTGGTAGTAGGTTCATACCACCTGAGTAGGTAATGATCATTTGTAATTAACAGATGAACCATCTTTATGTTCGTCTATAATTGAAAACCATTTATTCTCTGAAGTGTTTTAAGTACTTGGGAGGCAGCTCTGTGAAATGAAGAAAGGCTGGTCTTTGGAGAACAACAGGTCCCCTTCCTTTTCTCCACAAAAATTCCTCCATGTATCTGTTTATTCTGTGCTGCATCAGAAAGGCTATGCAAAGGGTCAGCCTAGCCATGTGGACTTGGTCTCAAGTTTTGAATTAGTGATTAGAGTTAATGAGGTTTTACTGTCTTATAACTATTCTTCCTTGTGAACCTATTAAATTCAAGTCTACTTCCCTTAATAGGTGGTCGGTGTAATTTATAGTCAGTCCATCACTTAAATGGTTTCGTCTAGAAAGTCAAGTTGACTTTCTAAGTGTTTCCTTTTGCAGAATGCTTGAGGTTAGGCTGTTGTTGAATCAGATTTTCTGAAGGAGAAGCAGCTGCCAGGAGAATTGAGTGTGAGGGAATATCAGTCAAATGGTGAGAAAAATCAGTAAAAGTCCTAAGTATTTTGGGGCAGAACAGAGGAAATCTAGGGCTTAGCATGTGCCAGGAGGCAGAGAACACTTGTCATAGGCAAAAAAGAACTATCTCAGCAGAGTGGGCCATGGGCTATATTTCTGAGTATCCTTCAGGTATATAAACTCAGAAATCCAGGGCAGTGGGCTATGACAAGCCCCCCATTCTAATCTGAAAGCAAAACATGTGCAGCTTTCTTTGAAGGCTCTTGGACATATGTTCAATCCTCTAGGGAGGCACCATCCTTTCCTTTGGGACAGGGAGAACAGAATGAAAATTTCATGAACTGGAAATTGAACAAGTGAATGGAAAATACAAGCAGATGTTGGTTGGCGAGGGTAGAGGAAATTGTCCAAACTTCAGGTTTCAAATTCATATATATAATAGGTTAGAACTGAGCATTAGGTTAACCATCCTGCCAAAATAAGTTGGTGGAGTTTATTCTCTTAATTTATATGTGTTTTGCATATCAGATTCCCTTATTTTATGTCAGTTCTTAATATCAGTTAAATCTCCTCAAAAGTCCTTTGAAAGAATTTCATGGAATTTTTTAAGAACAAAGGTCTTAGAATAAAGTTTTTCTTGTAGATTTGCTTATAGATGTTTTCACTCTAGGTTATTTCTAGTCTTGATGAAATAACTGTTTTCCCCACTGAGTCAGACAAAATTAAGAAGCTCTTCAATTGATCTTCAGCTCTGATTTGCTCCTAGTGATTCTAGGATCAAGGAGTATTTACTTCAGAACTATAAGCATACCCATTGCTTCCACCAGAACAAATCTAACAGAAAACTCTGACAATCGTAATAGGAATATCTTCACACATAACCCTTCCCTATGTGTTTAATTTTCAAGTCTTTGTTTTGTTATCAGAGAACAATAAGATAATTTATATGAAATAGCTGACATTCTACGTAAAATCTTTTACAAGCTATGAAACAAACATTTGAGCTCCTTGGTGGATTTCTTGCTTTTTTGTGTGTGATTGAATAATCACTTTTTCCCACTGGGAAATCTGAGGCACTAAAAAATGTCACTAACAGATGACTGGCTTGTTGACCACATTACGGAAAATAACCTTTCATTATGATTTTGTGGACAGCATTTAAATGCTAAATTCAGACAGCTTTAAAAAGTGAAAACAGATTTGAAAAGAAATAATGCCATCTATCACAGGACTTTTACCTTCACGGAAATTGGATTTATTGAAATAAACTGGTAAATAAAAACACTTTCTGGCTTGGGAGAATCAACCTAGTTTCTGATACTTTTCTGTTTCCCTTGCTCCAAAAATGTCATCGGTCTCTGTTTATATGCAGTGCAGCCAGGTGTTCAGAATCATAGTGGGACAAAAAGAATTAGCTTCTTGCTGAATAGTGGAAGTTAAGAAAAAAAAGTAGTTAGTAAACAGGGCTTAAAAATATGAAAAATGTAGACCCATTGAACTGAACCCTTTTTTCCCTCCTCCTGCCCCCAGGAATAATTCTGCTGCAGGGCTGACTTCAAGGATGTGAATTGTTGACCTCCTCCCAACATCAGAACCTCAGCTGTTATTCTAATTTTTGCACCATTCCAGGCAAGTTGACTTTAGATGGAAAGAAAATTGAACCTTAGGGGTCTGATGGGAATTCACTGTGTCATTCAAGTTGAGAAAACTTGCTGAAACCCACAGAGCCTTTTCCCCGTGGGCCCCGATGGTAGCCTCCAGAAGGTGCAGCCTCGGATGGTCCTTCTTATTCTGTGGCAAGAATAAACTTTGGATCTTGGATTGCAACACCACCTGTGGAGAAAATGGTATGCGAAGGAAAGCGATCAGCCTCTTGTCCTTGTTTCTTCCTCCTGACGGCCAAGTTCTACTGGATCCTCACAATGATGCAAAGAACTCACAGCCAGGAGTATGCCCATTCTATACGAGTGGATGGGGACATCATTTTGGGCGGTCTCTTCCCTGTCCATGCAAAGGGAGAGAGAGGGGTGCCTTGTGGGGAGCTGAAGAAGGAAAAGGGGATCCACAGACTGGAGGCCATGCTTTATGCAATCGACCAGATTAATAAGGACCCTGATCTCCTCTCCAATATCACTCTGGGTGTCCGGATCCTCGACACGTGCTCCAGGGACACCTATGCTCTGGAGCAGTCGCTAACATTCGTGCAGGCATTGATAGAGAAAGATGCTTCCGATGTGAAGTGTGCTAATGGGGATCCACCCATTTTCACTAAGCCTGACAAGATTTCTGGAGTCATAGGTGCTGCAGCAAGCTCCGTGTCCATCATGGTTGCTAACATTTTAAGACTATTTAAGGTAGGTAATGGCGTTGTCTTTCGGACCGTTGTGAAAGGATGGTAAATTGTTCTGACTCCAACTGCAGGTTTAGGAAGAAAGAGAAGATGGTGACAGTGCCCATAGGCCCTCTCAGGGTCTCCAGGGTTCTCAAACAGAGGATTCTGTGTCTGGGTTTCTACATTGTTAATATAGTTCCATTATTTACAATTAATTGGATTAATTGTGACTTTTTTCCTGAACATATAGAATGGTGATAATTTCTGTGACATGTTGAGTCCTCAACATCTTAGACTATCCTCTTTGATGAGGCTTCTTTTAAAGCAAATGAATATTTTTAGGGAGTATAATGAACTCTTAGCACATTTATCATATAAAACGTTTCTATGGTATTTGAGGTATAAGATGATTTACTTGGTGAAACTTCTTTAAAGTAGGATGCTCTGTTATGACAGAAGTTCCTGTGTAAAGAAACGGTATTTATTACTCATCTGTAGATGGGAGTGACACTCTGGGATGTAAGATGGCCATAACATTGTCAGGTTTATTATAGCTACAATAGAGCAGAACCTCATTAATTCAGACTGCTCTGATGCAGGCTTGGAATAATTACATATAATTCTTATTGAGTTAAAAGTTTAAATTTAGCAGGATAATTCAAGACTTTTTGATTTATATTTCCACTTAGATGATCCATTACCTGTAAATCGCATTTACATATTGAGTAAAATTGGCAAAATACAATAATATATGTAACAACACTTTGAAAGTATAAAGTGCCATAAAATAGTTATCATTAACTCATCATCTCTCATTAACTTTCTCATTTTATTTTTTTTAATATCCATATGTAGTCTTTTGCAATGATGTAATTTTTAAAATTCAAAATACTTTTCACTCTGATTTCTTAATCAGTGGGACCTGACTTTTTCAACTTGTTCTGAATTAATGAGGCTTTGTTTTGCATTATGAGAAAATGTTTCTATGAATATTAGATTTAGAAATATTAAAAGAATATGGAGAAATTGGACAGGTGACAGATCTAGTGACAAAAACAAAGTAATAGAAAACTTCTCAAAAAAGGAGAGGAATTATATCAAAGGCTTTGTGGTTTGGAAGATATCTTGGGGGACCATCTAGACTGGTTCACTTCATATGCTGGAATCCTCTCTGTATCATCCACCCAAGTGGCTGTCCAGCTTCTGTATTAATTCTTTTAGTTTACAAGAGAGAATGCTAAGAGCTTAATGACTATTTTCAGACTGATGAAATTTTCTCAAATGAGGATGCTGCTGAGCAGAAGAAGCTCTCTGTGTCTAAGGAGTACCAAAGAGGCAAAAACAGGCTTCAGGGAATTCCAGAGATATTTGAGCAGGACATTTGAAAGACCCTCAGAGCAGTGAGAAGGACACAGATTAAAAGAGGCAGCCAATGAGTGAAATAAGTCAGACAGAGAAAGATAAATACCATATGATTTCACTTATATGCAGAATCTAAGGAACAAAAAGAACAAACAATCAAAAACAGACTCACAAATATAGTGGAGAATTTGGTGACGGACAGAGGAGAGGGGAGTTTAGGGGCCTGGGAGAATGGGGTGAAGGGTTAAAGAAGTACAAATTAGTAGTTGGTCATGGGAATGGGGAGCATGGCAGAGGGAATGCAGTTAGCATTAATACGTTGGCTAGGTGGAGGGTCAGGGGAGGGAGAGAGCAATTGGAGGGATCGTTTTATGAACTATATAGATGTCTAACCAATGTAGTGTATACTTGAAACTAATTGAAATAAATAAATAAATTTATATTAGAAAAGAGGCAGCCAAGGGTGCTCTAATTTTTCCATCTCTGGAATCTTTTAAGGGAAACTTTCAAGTGAAAGTTGTTAATAATTTTTCTTATGCTAGCTGACCTGAGTTGGGCTTGGAGGCAAGATGCATAACCAGGATTCTTTAGGTTTACCCCACATCCTGGGATCTAGAATTTCTCCCAGCAGTCCCGATTCTGAGCCACATGACATTTTCTTCTCAGGGTGACGTCCAGCTCCAGCCACTTTCTCAATTTATTCTCCTCTCCTCTCCTTCCCTCCCTTGCCCTCCCCTCTTCTCTCCTCTCCTCAACTTGATCTGCCTCCCTGCCTTCTCCAAAGCATCTTTTTTCTGTTATTAACTCAGCGACTATGGCCCAACAATACCCGCTTTTAGAGAAGAAGAAAACTTTCACAAGGATCTTCTCCCTTCCTTTTATTATCCTCCCCTATACACTAATTCTGCTTCCCATCAATCCCACCATAATTGTTCTGAATCCCGTCTCCTTCCTGTAGTCTGGTGCCCAAAGCAGAGATTTGCAAAGCTTGTTTACATTAATTTAGCCACAGAAGCAGCTTCTGTGTAAAATGGGGATATTAACATTGTGTTAGGTTGTTGGATGGATTTAATGAGAAAATGTAGGTGAAGAGTTCCACCAGGACCTGGCCATGTCCTTTGCCTCCTTGGACTGACAAAAGGAACCTGGAAACCTCTGTGGGCTACCTGGAGGGTGGGTTTTATTTTTATGCAGTTTGAACTTAGCTTCTTTCTGTCTGTTCTTCCCTCATTGACTGGCCAATTCTGTCCTTACTCTCTTGGGTAATTCTGGCGACACCTTATCTAACCAGGTGGGAGAATTACTATCGACTCTTTGGGCAGAGTCCAATGCTCCAGGCCAACTCCTGAGAAAGTAGTCAGCACATACAGGGGCTGTTCTTGCCACCTTGACCAAAGCACAAGGAGTGGGTGTCAGTTAGCCAGGAGGGGGTGTTGGTTATAGTAGATGTCATAACTAAGATCAGTACCCTGGTATGGAGTGAGCATTTAATAAAAGGAAGAAAATATATTTATTAACCAAGTTACTGGGGCTCGAAAAATTTGTGTCTTTCATAAGTAAGTGATAGAATATAGGTGCTCAGCCCATCTCCCTCCTGAACCTGGCCCACATGAATGTGAATTTGGTAATTACAGCTTATTGTTGTGCTACTTTAATTTACCTTGATGATTTATATGAGACCTCCAGCCAGCACTTCAGAATGATATTAATTATGAAATGATTATGGTCACTCTTGGAATAGAAAATATTTCACTTTATATATGAATATATCCTATTTAAACACGTGCTAGGACAGATATGAAATATTAGAATAGTTATCAAAGGAATAATTAGAACATTAATGCATTGGGGATAGGCTTACAGTTCCATTTTGAAAAATAATAACTTGATTAAACCAAATGTTATGACTTGAATAAAGGTGACATTCAGGACAGTTTTATGGAGCTTGGGCCCTTCCAGGACAGCATAAGACTCATAGAATATAAAAAAGATGATGGATATAAATATATTGCTACTTACTTCTGGATTAATGGAATTAAAGAAGGTAGAGCATTTTGATTTGAAAACGCACAAAATATTAACCTTGACCATAAGGAATGTAAGCACGGTCTTGATTAATAATGAACTTACTGTCCTGCTCAACAGTAAACATTAGTGGGGGTTTTAGAATATAGCTGGGACCTGTTTAACAGTATATAGAAAATATTTGGGCTAAAATTAGAAGTAATTTTCAAATTTCTCATTCTCTCTTTCTCTTTTTTTTTTTTTTCTGGATAATCCTGGTAATGCCATGTCGTATCAGCCTGGGCTAAGTTGTGAAGGAGACCAAGTCTCCCAGGACTCCACATCTTCCTCGCCCTTCAGTCTTGTCCCTCCTATGGCAGCCTTGCCTGTCCTTGTATCCCTCTCTGTTCTTCTAATTGAATCCTTGTTTCGAGAAAGGAGTTATGTTATCAGTCATCTGTATATAGTATGTCTGTGTTTAAGTCGAAGGAGGATTCTATTTTCCACGGGATCCTAATTGTAGAATGAAATGATTCATCTTTGTAAAGGGGATTTAGGCATCAATGGGAGGTACATTTAGCCACCCAGAGACTGCATTGGCATTGGGGGCCGCCTGCCCTGCCCAGGAGTACAGCTGGCCCTGCTCATCTCTAGCAAGGAGGGGTGCTGTCCTATCTTTGTTTTCCTTCCCATCAAAGCTCACAGGCAAATGAAAAAATCAGCCCCTTTAACTTCAGAGGAGAGTTGGACAGGGGCCTGGAGCCAGACACCACCTGGGGGCAGAAACTACTCTCTGGTCTGGGCTCATAGGACACTGAATGCTCTTCTCATGCCCCAGGGGTGTGTTGGCTTATCAAAAACTACCTAAGAGGCTTTTTAAATGACAGGACTCAGTGAATGAGTACCTGCCTCCCAACCTGCTCCTTTAGTAACCTTTTTTTACTAACTGAAGTGTCTCATATTTCTTAGGTGTGTTGGGAGTAAAAACAGGTTTGAGAGTTATAGAATAAGACTAATCATCTGAACTTTTTAGAAGCACTGTTGTGTCTTAAAACACACATATGCTCTTCGTGTGTGGGTTGACATGGGGGCAGAGTGGTCACCTAGGCGATTGTTTAATCCCTATAGCAAGTTAATGGTTTTGGATAATAGTAGCATCAATTAGGATAATGTGACATATAACTGCAGAACAGCAAACCGTTAACTGCTCCATCCTACATAAAGGTAACAGTGCCAACTCTGTGAAGAAATTAGAGATTATGTAGCTTGAAAAGAATTAAAAAAGAATGGAAATGTTGACTGGAAGCCCATAATTTAAATATTTTAAAAAGCAGTTTCAAGGAATTTGCTTATGTTTTATAAAGAGCTCAGATTTTTTTTCCCCTTTTCTAGAACATTTTCATCTCTCATCTTTAAATTAGAGCAAATATGTTCTTCAAAACACTAATCAAATGTCTTACTTTGAGCAAAGATTGAACATTTCAAGTTAAAAATAGCACATTAATGCTTGGAGGTAATGCACTTTTAATGTCCACATAGATGCATTAGGGTTATAAAAGGACAGTGTCAGATATAATTTTTCTCATGTCTTTCCAGTTAACTTTACCTCGAGAGTTAATTTTCTACTCTTGAAAGAAAGGGGTTAGATAGTCTGTG